TATAGAAACTAATTTTTACTGAGGAATAGACAAGTGCCCAATATAGAATAGCATTTAAAAAAATGTTTAATCTAAATAATAATTATAATTTCTCCCTCTAAATTGACCATAGGTCAATATGATTTTTTGTAATATATTATATATAATATACATATTATATGTGTGTGTGTGAATATAATCACACAACTTTCAAATACCTTATTTATTCAGAGAATATTTCTTGCTGGTTGGTTATGTAAGAAGTTTATGGCATAAAACAAATATATATTTCTTATTTTGAGGATACTAATATATTAGTCAAAAATATTTTTGTCCTCCTGCAAAATATCTAGTAATTGTGATTTTATAACACCTTTTTATATAAATGCTCTGAAGTAAAAGTGGCAAAGTGAATATATAAATGAGTTCACTTCACACCCTACTAAAATCTTACCAAAAAGAAACTGAAGGGAGAAAAAAGACTGACATACATAAGGGATGATGACAAAAAGCGCAGTAGCAACACAATTTCAGAAAATAGAAAGCAAATGGACAGTTACTGATTGAGTAGAGGAAGATGAATCCAGATGCCTGGTAGCCAAGACATCACAACGCAAACTAATCTCTTCCAAAGTAAACAAATTCCTTCCAAAGAAACACTACAAGACCTCAGAATAAAAGGCACCTGGTATTTTTTTTTTTAATTTTTTTAAAATGTTTATTTTTTTGAGAGAGAGAGAGAGACAGAGACAAAGCATGAGCAGGGGAGGGACAGAAAGAGAGGGAGACACAGAATCCAAAGCAGGCTCCAGGCTCTGAGCTGTCAGCACAGAGTCCAACGTGGGACTCAAACTCGTGAACCGTGAGTTCATGACCTGAGCTGAAGTCAGACACTTAACCGACTGAGCCACCCAGGCGCCCCAGGCACCTGGTATTTCTGAAAGCCAGGTTGGGACTAAAAATAGAACTGGTGGAAAGTGTCAGTAAGAAACATGGAGATGCCTAAATCCCCCCTTCATGCCCGCAGAAAATATGAGGTTGACTAAACCATATGGACCTCGAATTAGTGTACATCCAGCACAAGTGGGAACAGGTATCATCAGGGGCTCTACACAAAAGTTCTACATCAGAGGTTCTACATAAGTCTGAAACAGGAAAGGTGAGACCTCCAGCCCTGCCCTTGTTCTGCACCACAATACTGGCTATAGCCCTGGCAGACCTGGGAAAATTTCTCTCTCACTAATCCAAAAGAAAATAGATACAACTGGTTTTGTTGGGGGGAATACCTGGGAATTCCTCCCAACAAAAGAGCCTGATCACACCACCCTTCTTGAGGTCAACCAGACCTGTCATCAAACACAAAGCTTCCAAATGGCTTTTAAGTACCATATTCATAAATGTGAAAACAGCAAGGGGTCACTAGATAGAAAAATTTGCTAACATGCATGAAACAAACAAAAAGAAAGAAGCAGAAACAGCAGATAGCAAATTTTAAACCATAATATCCTAAGAGATGAGCAAAAATATTGAGCTCATGAAATAAGAACAGTGCACTACATTTTAAAAGTATTAGTCAGTGTGGTGCCTGGCTGGCTTAGTCAATAGAGCATGCAACTCTAGATCTTGGAGTTGTGAGTTCAAGCCTCACGCTAGGCATACAGCTTACTTAAAATTAAAAAAAAAAAAAAAAAAAAAAGGGATTAATCACAGATGAATCTCTAGTAATTAAGACAATAAAATCCAAAATTATAAATTCATCAGAAGTAGAAGGTTTAGGAGACAAAACTGAAGACATTTCTGAGACAGGAGGACAAAAATGATTTCAAAAAGAAGAAAAAAATCACTTTTGAAAAAGATACAAGGGATTGGAGCATGAGATCCAACATCCAATTCATAGAAATTAGAAAAATAAAAAAGAGGAAAGATAAGGGAAGATATTAATACACAATTTTTTAATTTCTCCCCAAAATAAAGCACATGAATTTCCAGATTAAAAGTACTCAGGATGAGTACCAGACATACTGAATTAAAAAAGACCCATTCCAAGATGTTTCATTATAATAAGAAGAACATAGGAATTAAGGCTTCCTTCCAAAGATGAAAAATATACCACAAAGAACTGGGAATCAAAATGCATAACAGAAAGACAGGAAACTAGAACATGAGAGAACAATTTCTTCAAAACCCAGGGAAAACAATTTCTAGTCTTACATATATCAAGTAATGGAATACAATGAAAAAGAAACAAACATATGAGACTCAGGAATCAGAGAATTTGATGTTGGAGAGACAAAATGGGAATACAAAATGATAGTGAGGTAAAGACCAGGGATGACAATCCCTCAGCAGGCTTTCTGTGAACCCATTCTAAACTTTAAGGTGCCAGCTGGCATGTCTCCAAGAAAAAACAAAATGGAACTATCAACTGACCAGATTTGTTTGCCTGACATAAAAACTAAATACATGTGGGGCGCCTGGGTGGCACAGTCGGTTAAGCGTCCAACTTCAGCCAGGTCACGAACTCGCGGTCCGTGAGTTCGAGCCCTGCGTCAGGCTCTGGGCTGACGGCTCAGAGCCTGGAGCCTGTTTCCGATTCTGTGTCTCCCTCTCTCTCTGCCCCTCCCCCAGTCATGCTCTGTCTCTCTCTGTCCCAAAAATAAATAAACGTTGAAAAAAAAAAATTAAAAAAAAAAAACAAAACTAAATACATGCTACTGAGAAGATTTTAAGGTAGAATTAGTGGTGGGGACTATGAGAATTAGACCTCTAACACTCCCTGTTTGCCTACCATGTACATATTTCTCTGCCCGCCAGCCTCCCTATAACATTCAGCTACATGATTATTCATTTTGAATATAATGTTATTAAAAGCTGATCCTTATCAAATACCTCTTATGATATATAATCATTACCTTTTTGGTTTAACTCCTCGCAGTTAATGATTCCTCATTTTCTCATTTGATTCTTTAAATTATAGTCATAGATTAGCATGATAAAAAATAAAAATTTAACATTTTTACATTTCACATGTAAATATTTATAACTCATTTTTCATTTTTCAGTCATTAGATTTAATCATTATCAGACATTATTCTTGATAACAATTTTGAGTTACTACATATCATCGTATGATAATTTGCTTACATTTCTTTCTGTTGGGCATTAAGATTTTTTCAAATTTTTTTATATTCTTTTTTTTTTCACAAACTGTTGAGTGTTTTTTGTTTTTTGTTTTTTCTTTTTTTTATTTTTATTTTTTAATTTATATCCAAGCTAGTTAGCATATAGTGCAACAATGATTTCAGGAGTAGATTCCTTAATGCCCCTTACCCATTTAGCCCACCCTCCCTCCCATAACCCCTCCAGTAAACCTGTTTGTTCTCCATATTTAAGAGTCTCTTATGTATTGTCCCCGTCCCTGTTTTTATATTATTTTTGCTTCCCTTCCCTTATTTTCATCTGTTCCATGTCTTAAAGTCTTCATATGAGTGAAGTCATATGATCTTTGTATTTCTCTAATTTCGCTTAGCATAATACCCTCTAGTTCCATCTACATAGTTGCCAATGACAAGACTTCATTCTTTTTGATTGCCAAGTAATATTCCATTGTAAATATATATACCACATCTTTATCTGTTCATCCATCGATAGACATTTGGGCTCTTTCCATACCTTGGCTATTGTCGATAGTGCTGCTATAAACATTGGGGTGAGTGTGCCCCTTCGAAACATCACACCTGTATCCCCTTGGATAAATGCCTAGTAGTGCAATTGCTGGGTCGTAGGGTAGTCCTATTTTTAACTTTTTGAGGAACCTCCATACTGTTTTCCAGAATGGCTGCACCAGTTTGGATTCCCACCAGCAGTGCAAAAGAGATCCTCTTTCTCCACATCCTCTCCAACATCTCTTGTTGCCTGAGTTGTTACTGTTAGCCATTCTCACAGGTGTGAGGTGGTATCTCATTGTGGTTTTGATTTGTATTTCCCTAATGATGAGCCATGTTGAGCATCGTTTCATGTGTCAGTTGGCCATCTGTATGTCTTCTTTGGAGAAGTCTATTCATGTCTTTTGCCATTTCTTCACTGGATTGTTTGTTTTTTGGGTGTTGAGTTAGATAAGTTCTTTATAGATTTTGGATACTAACCTTTATCTGGTATGTCATTTGCAAAGATCTTCTCCCATTCTGTTGGTTGCCATTTAGTTTTGATATTCTTAATAATGCTTATTGAGAACTACATAAATCTTTGTCTCTATTTCTAATGACAAGTTCCTACAAGCAGGATAAATTTAAGGTTTTGCTCTATACTACTTAGTTGTCCCCTAAAATTTCTGCCAATTTACATTTGTACCTACAATGTATTATGTTCATTTCACCACACACTTATAAGCAGTAATACAGTATTTTTAATTCTTTCAGAAATTAAGAGGGAACAAATTTAACATGTACTCTTTTTAATTTGAATTTCCCTATTAGTTATATTATATTATATATTTATGACTTTTGATCATTTTTCTTTTTGGGTATTATTTGTATTTGTGTGGTTTTAAATTTGACATACCTTCTCCCGGATTAAGGATATGTATCACTTTGTCATGGTAAGTGTTATGGTTAAGTGTTTTTTCAGTCTTAACTCTTATGTAGTCATACTTTTGTTCTTCCTTCTCTTGCACTTGGTCCCTAGGAAGGCCTTCCTCAGCTCAAAGACAGATAAATGCTGACCTCTGTTTTCTTCTCCCTCTATGAGGGGGGTAGTATTAAGGTTTTATTCTTGGTAATTATATTAAGTAACCTAAAAGGGATCCTTTAGCAATACTTCCATAAAAGCATGAGAATGGGGGAAACCTCAGGAATATAAAAAGTGGCTTAAAATCAAATAACTTTCAATGTATCTTTTAACTTTAAATATTTCAACATGTAAGCTTCCTTCCTTAAATATCAGAGTACCATGTGGATTAAAACAATGTAACACTTTCAGGTATATATGCCAATATAGCTTAATTTTGAAAAACTTTTACTCACTTGTGGTCATGATGTTAGGAGGACAAGAGGGTATTCCATGATCTACTGCCCATCTGTAGGCTCCTTCTCCAACTAAAAAGCTAACAACAGAAAAATTATTCTTTTAAAAATTCAGTTTCATCTCTTCCTATATCAATAAAGTAATATAAATCATATAGTAAGGCAACTTAAAAAATGTTTTGCATATAGATATAATTCTAGGTTTATTACCTCAAAATAACAATATGGCTACATGCCCCAAAATTATTTAAACATTTTCCCCAAGTTAGAAATTTTACAATTGGAAATGGTACAATTTCATTTGCAATAACCAACAAGTAAAAACCGGCAAAATTCACCCTGAGATGCAAAAAATAGTTGATTTCCCCATGGAAAATACTAAGATTTATCTTGGATCATCATGGTCACACGATCCATTTAACCAAGTTAAGAGTCAAAGTATCAGTGAATGTCCTCAGATTTAGTATTCTTACCTACTATAACACCTGGGTCTACCTAAAATGAGTGGGTACATCTAGAGATGACCAAAAACAATGAGATGTGCTTACATTTGCAAGTCTTAATGCAACGAAAATATATAAATGACCTATAAAATATATGACTCTCAGAATCATTTTTACTGTGGCGAGTACTGTGGTATGTCCCAAAAGTAATTTTTTAAGCCCTAAACTGCAAGTTTTAACATAATGAAGTAAATGAAAGGATACTGTTAGCTAACTATAAAAGACTTATTTCCAAAGATTTCAAAGGGCATGCAGGATAATTAACCACTCCATTCCCTAACACGGTAACAGCAAGTGGTTACCATAAAAATCAATCACTTCATCTCCTTCTATAGCCAACTTCTTAAAGCTCTCAGCCAGCTAGTAATGGGTTTCCTTGAACTTATGCCTGCTCATTAGTTTTTGGCTCTCTAGTTTTTGTTTCTGTTCTTCTAATCATTCCAACACTAAAACTCAAAGTAATGCATACTGAAGTCTTTAGATTCATTTGTTAGTAAGGAGACCAATGACATACTGGAAAACAAAATCTAAGGAGATACTCAGAAATGTCCAAATATGGGGCGCCTGGGTGGCGCAGTCAGTTAAGCGTCCGACTTCAGCCAGGTCACGATCTCGCGGTCCGTGAGTTCGAGCCCCGCGTCAGGCTCTGGGCTGATGGCTCGGAGCCTGGGGCCTGTTTCCGATTCTGTGTCTCCCTCTCTCTCTGCCCCTCCCCCGTTCATGCTCTGTCTCTCTCTGTC